TCCACTTACACCAATAATGCAGCACTATTCTTACTAACACCAAATACTCCTCCACTTGATACTAAAGATGGTTCATCATTTACTCTCACTGATGCCAGGACATTTTCTACTCCAAGTGACCATGATCCGGCCCCCCAAACCACTTATGGACAGTAAACTGGCCCTTTGTTTAAAAAGTTTGGAGACCCCTACACTACAGGCTTGATTACAGTGTGTTACCATGGACTGGAAAGACGGAAGGAGTTGACTAGCTTCAACTCCTAACCTATGAAGGAAGAATTCTAATTGATTGTTAATGGATGCTTCTGTTAGATACTAGTACTTAGGAATATGAACATAAGATTGGATTCATTTTATGGTTCTCAAAATAACTTGGTGGTGAAGCCTTAAAATTGTATTAATTGCTGCATTAATGGTTTTAAATGTCACCAAATGACAACTAGGCTGTATTATGACATTTCAATATCTTAAAAAAACATATTGATTAAGTATCTGAACCTTTAGTGCAATGATATCTTGAAAATATGGTGAATGACGTCACACTGTCCAATCCTTTAATTATATAAAAGCCCAGTTTGAGGATTTTGTTTTCTCCTTGGCAAACTTTACTTTTCCATTGAGGATCATGCCAAAATCAGTTTCATTTTGCCAGTGGGAGATTCTGCCTGATTTCTCCTCCTTCATTATCCTCTCCCTACCTCTTTCACACTATTAACCAGTTACATTGGCAAAAGTACTACACATACCCCTTACTCTGTACTGTCCTAATTAAAACAGAAAGTACTACACATAAACCTTACTCTGCACTGTCCTAATTAAAACAGAAAAGTAAAACACATACCCCTTACTCTGCACTGTCCTAATTAAAACAGAAAAGTACTACACATACCCCTTACTCTGTACTGTCCTAATTACAACAGAAAAGTACTACACATACCCCTTACTCTGCACTGTCCTAATTAAAACAGAAAAGTACTACACATACCCCTTACTCTGTACTGTCCTAATTAAAACAGAAAAGTAAAACACATACCCCTTACTCTGCACTGTCCTAATTAAAACAGAAAAGTACTACACATACCCCTTACTCTGTACTGTCCTAATTAAAACAGAAAAGTACTACGCATACCCCTTACTCTGTACTGTCCTAATTAAAACAGAAAAGTACTACACATACCCCTTACTCTGTACTGTCCTAATTAAAAACAGAAAAGTACTACACATACCCCTTACTTTGTACTGTCCTAATTAAAACAGAAAAGTACTACGCATACCCCTTACTCTGCACTGTCCTAAGTAAAACAGAAAAGTACTACACATACCCCTTACTCTGCACTGTCCTAATTAAAACAGAAAAGTACTACACATACCCCTTACTCTGTACTGTCCTAATTAAAACAGAAAAGTACTACACATACCCCTTACTCTGCACTGTCCTAATTAAAACAGAAAAGTACTACACATACCCCTTACTCTGCACTGTCCTAATTAAAACAGAAAAAAGTACTACACATACCCCTTACTCTGTACTGTCCTAATTAAAACAGAAAAGTACTACACATACCCCTTACTCTGCACTGTCCTAATTAAAACAGAAAAGTACTACACATACCCCTTACTCTGCACTGTCCTAATTAAAACAGAAAAGTACTACACATACCCCTTACTCTGCACTGTCCTAATTAAAACAGAAAAGTACTACACATACCCCTTACTCTGTACTGTCCTAATTAAAACAGAAAAGTACTACACATACCCCTTACTCTGTACTGTCCTAATTAAAAACAGAAAAGTACTACACATACCCCTTACTCTGCACTGTCCTAATTAAAACAGAAAAGTACTACACATACCCCTTACTCTGTACTGTCCTAATTAAAAAACAGAAAATTAAAACAGCATAAACTCTGCAGTAAAACAGAAAAGTACTACACATACCCCTTACTCTGCACTGTCCTAATTAAAACAGAAAAGTACTACACATACCCCTTACTCTGTACTGTCCTGATTAAAACAGAAAAGTACTACACATACCCCTTACTCTGTGCTGTCCTAATTAAAACAGAAAAGTACTACACATACCCCTTACTCTGCACTGTCCTAATTAAAACAGAAAAGTACTACACATACCCCTTACTCTGCACTGTCCTAATTAAAACAGAAAAGTACTACACATACCCCTTACTCTGCACTGTCCTAATTAAAACAGAAAAGTACTACACATACCCCTTACTCTGCACTGTCCTAATTAAAACAGAAAAGTACTAAACATACCCCCTTACTCTGCACTGTCCTAATTACCCCTTACTCTGTACTGTCCTAATTACAACAGAAAAGTACTACACATACCCCTTACTCTGCACTGTCCTAATTAAAACAGAAAAGTACTACACATACCCCTTACTCTGCACTGTCCTAATTAAAACAGAAAAGTACTACACATACCCCTTACTCTGCACTGTCCTAATTAAAACAGAAAAGTACTACACATACCCCTTACTCTGCACTGTCCTAATTAAAACAGAAAAGTACTACACATACCCCTTACTCTGCAGTGTCCTAATTAAAACAGAAAAGTACTACACATACCCCTTACTCTGTACTGTCCTAATTACAACAGAAAAGTACTACACATACCCCTTACTCTGCACTGTCCTAATTACAACAGAAAAGTACTACACATACCCCTTACTCTGCACTGTCCTAATTACAACAGAAAAGTACTACACATACCCCTTACTCTGTACTGTCCTAATTACAACAGAGAAAAAGTACTACACATACCCCTTACTCTGTACTGTCCTAATGCTATCTGAAATCTTATGAAAAAAAATTAAAATGGTAAAGTACTACGCAACCCCCTGGCCACTACTCTCTCAACCAATACAACATAACAGATCTGATCACTCAGCCTGCCCGAGTGCCTGCTCTCCGTCCCCTGTAACTGGCTCATCCACATCATGCCTTTCTCTTAGGGCTCTTTCATACGGACATTCCGATCGGGTTCACCTGCCCATTTTTCAGACGGACCCGATTGGAATCTCCATTCTTCTCTATGGAGCGGAGGGAGCATAAATGGACATGTGTCCATTTACACCCACTGACATCTGATCCGACCCGATCTGCCAAAAAGGGGACAGATAGGGATCCAATTCTATTTCTGTCCGTCAGACAGGCAGTCCGTTATCATCCAACCACCCATTGAGGAGAGCGAGCAGCTCTGTGTCTGTTCTGCAGCAGCGGAGTGGACATGTAGCTATCATCCGCTTGCTCAGCGGAAAGAACCCCCGCTGAGTAAGAAGATCCACTACAGCATTCCATTTTTTTCATCAGTTCAATTACTTCAGTCACGTTTTTTTCCAAGAAAAAACATATCAGTTTGTCCATTTACATCCATTTTCCATCAGTTTACATCTGTTTTTTGTTATGGAAAAACATATCAGTTCACATCAGTTTTTCATCAGTTTACGTCAGTTATGCATCAGTTTTTGTTATGGAAAAACATATCAGTTCACATCAGTTATTCATCAGTTTACATGAGTTTTTCATCAGTTCACATCAGTTTATTCATCAGTTTACATGAGTTTTCATCAGTTCACATCAGTTTGTAATCAGTTCACATCAGTTATTCATCAGTTTACATCAGTTTTTCATCAGTTCACATCAGTTTTTCATCAGTTTACATCTGTTTTCATCAGTTCACATCAGTTTGTAATCAGTTTACATCCATTTTTCATCCATTTACATTCCTTTTTCATCAGTTTACATCCATTTTTTTACATCCTATTATCAATGACCTTATGTCTGTTTACATCTGTTTTTTGTCCATTTACAACCGTTTTCCATCCGTTTACATCTGTTTTTTGTTATGGAAGAAAAATAGGGTTTTGTTCCGTTCAAAAAAAAAACGATGTCAACGGATATGGATAGATGACCATCCGTTTACATCCGCTAGTCCATAGAAATACATGTGTGTTTCATTTGTAAACAGACGGATGAAAAATGGACATACAGAACGCCCGTGTGAAAGAGCCCTAACAGTGCACCCCCTTTTAGACTGCTGTGGTTCAATCAATCCCCTTCCTGTTCACTCTTTCACCATCATCTCCATCTTCTCCTCCTGCTTTTGCTTGGCTCCCCTTCCACTCAGTCCCCTGGCTCTAAGTCCCCCTTTCTCATTCATAAAAGGCACCAAGTGGCGCCATGACGTCAGTGTATGCTTGCTCCCCTCCGTCCGAGTGCGGCCGAGCCCAAGCCGGGCTGCAGCCATATTATTTTCTGTGCGGCCACTGTCCATAGCGAACATTTAGTAAATTGGAGGAAATTTACAAACTGTCTGTAAATTTATGGAGAGTTGGCAACCCTGATAGGGATTGCCAAATCAAAAAATGACCACACCCGCAGGCTGGTGACTCCACACTTGCGGTCCATTCATTAGGTCTTCCAGCCCTGTAACAGAAGCGCCATACCTCTGTACGGACCTGGGGCTGGGTATAACGCACTGACTGACCGGAACGCGCTGATTTCGGCTGCAATGCTCTGCAGACTTCAATTCAAAAACGTGAGATGCACATGTTTTATGAACTCATTGTTGGTGAATGTCTTTTTTAACAATATATTGGCACTATATAATAATAATAATGGTGCAGCCTGCCTTCACCCACCTGGGTGTTCTGCAAATGTGTATGTAGAATGCAGAGAACAAGCCCCCACATATAGAGGGGTGCAGGGGATGCCTGGTCTCCCATGACAGGTGTGGAGCTGTGTAATGAGAAGCCCCCTGTACAAGCAGACAGTGCTGAGTCCTCCCTCCAGGACACGTCACTTCCCCCTGTACAGCCCCCCAGCATGTAGTAAGGAGGGATGGAGGGACAGCAGACACAGGTGCTGATGACGTCATGACGCCTCTTGACAGCCGGCTGTGTGATCGGTTCATGGTGGTTGGCTAGTGTACAGGGGATCCACTGTGTGCCAGCACTGGAGAGCCTCTCCGACCGACCATGGTGGCCAAGCAGAGGATCCGGATGGCTAATGAGAAGCACAGCAAGAACATCACGCAGAGAGGCAACGTGGCCAAGACCCTGGTGAGGAGGAGAAGGGGGGGAAGGGGGCGCCTGTCATCATCACCAGGCTGGGAGGTGCTGGCTGCATGTGTATGCATGGGGCATCTTTGTCTGCTGGCTGCAGTGTGCATGAGATCCTGTCCCTGGCTGCACCCTGTCAGTGCCAGGAGCGTGTGCAGTCACCCATAGCAACCAGGATCCATGTACTACACTGCACTTTACATCTTATTACATAGGTAGTGTGTGATCACACAGCATGTCCATCCCCAGGTGTAATGAGACAAGCCGCAGCACATCAGGCATGCAGGGACTTGTAGTACCACAATTCTGCACTCAAATGTGGTGCCTCATTCTGGTATAGAATTGATATATTTAGGCTGTATTTGGAACCTGGGCATTGTAAAAAAAAAAAAAAAAATATATATATATATATATATATATATATATATATATATATATATATATATATATATAAAATTCTTACTTATTTGTGTGTCCGTGAACAACAGCAAAGCATGACATTTTTCAAGCAGACCTCTCGTTATCATTTAAAGGCAATCCATACTGAAGGAAATATCACCCCCCCCCCCTTTCCACCAGCCTGTGCTGATGCTTTAAATGGTCTGTGATGCCCGAGGCTGCAGTACTGTGATGGGCTACACCATGCTGATGTCATCAGGAGCCTGTCCTACATTGACAGCTTGGCCATAGTTCTTTAGAGAACACTGATGGAGCATGCCTGAAAACAAGACAGTGATGCATATATGTGGCGGCTGGATGTTAAAGTGTTTGTAAAGTAAAAAAAAAAGTGTTTTTAATTAAAAAACAAACAAACATGTTTTGGTGGTATTGTACAGAGCGGCCCGATCCTCCTCTTCTCGGGTCCCTTGGTGGCCATCTTGACTGTTCTTCTTCTTAGTGTGTCCCCATAGCAAGCCATTTGATATGGGGGCACACAGTGTCTGCTCGCTCCCAAGCTATGTGTGCCCCTCTCCCCACTTCCTCCTCACTGCATTTGATTGACAGCAGCGGGAGCCAAATGCTGCTGCTTGAGTGCTGTGTGAAGAGGAAGAGAGAGGAGAAGAGATTCAGCCATGCACAGTCCTGGATCTCTTCCCCTTCATACAGGGAAGGGGAGGGAGCAGGGAAATAAAGTGTGAGGTTCTGCTTTAAGTACTGGTCCCCCCTACTTCCCATGAGGAATTGGCACCTTTGGGAGCAGGTACCCAATTTTCACAGGTACCCACTCCCACTTCCGCTGCGATCGGAAGCTGAAGTTGTCCCTAGGTGATCGGAAGCTGAAGTTGTCGTGCAGTTTTTGAAGCTGCTGACTTTTTTTTGGGTTTGATTGGAGCTCCATTTTAATGCAAGGAATGCATTAAGGTAAAAAACAACTTTTTAGCTTTAGTATCACTTTAGCCTTGAAAAATGTAATGGCAAGGGCAGCGGATCCGGCATTGTCTTGTTGCAATCTGCCCATCAAGCCCACACTGCCATTGCCTGTAGCTACGTCATCAGGGGCCACTGTCTCTTCTGGGGTTCTTGCTGATGAGATATGTGGTGGCTGCAAGAATGAGAAAAGCTCCTCTGGCCCCTCTGATGAGGTGCCTGTGTAGGACAGCAACCCAGTGCTGTTACGTAGGGTTCCCAGGGGGCTGCGGGGTAAGGAGGACCTCATTCTTGCCTAGGCAAGACTCCCAGAAGTGCCAGGAGATGTCCCCCACAAAAAGTGTTGGAGGGAGGAAAAAAGATTGTATCCAATTGTGGGAGCAGTGAGAGGAGTGCAAGGGTGTTAAGTGGACAGAGAGAATGAAGGTTCATTTTAAACCCGCAATTGCTGACATTTTACTGAAAATGCCAGCTGCTTGGTGATCAAATGGCTTAAAGTGTTATTAAACCCACAACAGTAAAATCAGTCTGTATATGCAGTAAAGCATGCTTGTTATACTCACTGTGGAGCCTAAGGGTTAATCCTCTGCATTGTGTAAAAAGGCTGTCTGATCCTGACTTCTCTGCTCCTCCTCTTGTTCAAATGTCCATGTCTTATCTCCTGATAAGACAGACTGAACCATAGCCATTCTGCACATGCTCAGTGTAGTGTGTATTGTTAGAGCAGGTTTTTTTTTTCCTTTTTCTTGGGATAGTGCATGTGATCAGCACAGGGCCAATCAGCAGTGCCCAGACAGAGGTCAGGGGTTTTGCGTTCTTCTAGAGCAGAAAGAAAACTCCTCCTACAAGCTTTAACCAGTGCTCTGCTGAACACTGATAGAAGTTACAAGACTGCTGTAAACACTGATGAGAAAAGCAGTTTATATTTACTAAAATAATTGCACTTCCATGTTGTGTTGTACTGTGGGAGACCAGATATAGTGGATTCAAGGTCCTGGGTTTAGTAACACTCTAACCACTAGCCTACTGGGCACTTTCATCCCCTTCCTGCCCAGGACAATTTTCAGTTTTCAGTGCTGTTGCAATTTGAATGACAATTGCGCAGTCATGCAACATTGTACCCATATGAAATTATTTTTTTCACACAAATAGAGCTTTGTTTGGTGGTATTTAATGGCAACTGGGGTTTTTATTTGTTTGCACTATAAAAGTTTTCTTTTATTTTTATTATAAAACTTTTCACATGTAATTTTCCTCCTTCACTGATGTGCGTTGATGAGGCTGCATTGATGGGCAAAGATGAGGTGGCACTGATAGGCTGCACTGATTAAGCGGCACTGGTGGGCATTGATGAGGAGGCACTGATGGTGCTGCATTAATATGCAGCAATGATGGGCACTGACTGGCGGCGCTGCAGGGCAGCACTGATAATCAGTGCCCTGATTATCAGTGCAGATCTCCTCTGTCACATACGCCAGTTATTGGCAGTACTTTCCTCATGCTGTAACTGTACTTACTTTGTGATCTGCTGTGTCATTGGACACAGCTGATCACATGGTAAAAGGCCACCTGTGATTGGTCTTTTACCTTGTCATGTAATCAGTTGTGTCCGTAGGACACAGCAATCACTGACAGCGCTGGGTGCGTGCCGCTGGGAGCGCTCTCTGGGAGGACATCCATGGTTGTAAACATCAGACATGTGCGCTTGTCTCAATTAGGAGTGTCATTTCTGTCTGCTGCCTTGTTCCTCTGCTATCAGCATGAATCGCTTCTGACAAGTTTTCCTGACACCACAATTGGGGACGGTAGAAACCTCCAGCAGATTAACAGCCTCAGTTCTGTTCCTGTGTGTTGTGTGGAGGGGGTGGGAGGGGGGGTGTCTCTTCCCACCAATCAGCGCTCAAAACTCTCATTGAGCTCTGCAGAGTGTAATTTCAGCTCCCAACCCTCTTCTATTTTTTTTTTTTTTTTTTTTTACTCTCAATCAAGCTTTATAAATTCAGTACTTTTGGATGTAGAAAAGAGAAGACTGCAGAAGGACAGATACAATTTATGTAGTAGGATTTATTTCATCTGTGTATTACCTAAGGCCAACCATGTAGGTTCTTTTTTTTTTTTTTTTTTTTTTCTTGGGCGAGTGCATGTGATCAGCACAGGGCCAATCAGACAGAGGTCAGGGGTCTTGCATCCTCCTAGAGCAGAATGAAAACTCCTCTTACCAACTTTAACTAGTGCTCAGCAGGACACTGATAGAAGTTACAAGACTGCTATATACTGGTGATGAGAAAAGGTATTTAGCAGTTTATAGTTACTAAAATAATTGTATTTCCATGTTCTGTGTACTATACCAGATATAGTGGATGCAGGGTCCTGGGTTTAGTAACACTGTAAATGAAGCAGCCAGGGAATCCTAGGTGACACCATTACCACATATGATCATGACCATGTAGTCAATGATGTCAGCCAGTATTCCCGGACAGTTTGTAGACCTTTAGCTGCATGCCATGGAACTGTCATTTGCTACAGGAGGCTGTCAGGAGAGGAGCATCTTGGGGTGGACCATCGTTTGTGTCATTGGGGCGCTGCTCATTGTGATTGACAATGGTTCTACATTGTTGGACTTTACTCCTTCCTTTTTTTTTTTTTTTTTTTTTTTTTTTAAATGAAAAGATTTTCAGTGGTGTGTGTTTTATTTACTTTTTTGTTTGTGAATGAATAACCCCATACACATTCACCTGTGTGAGGGGCTTAATATTTGGGAGCCCTCTTAAAGTGGAACTTTGAGTCAGAGAAAATTCAATCTTGCTAGATCACTCCAAGCTGGGCCTTTTTGCAGGTGTAGCTATGTAATGCACACTGGGTGTTTTGACAGCGGCTGTGTTTGACTTCTGGCATTTTTTTTCTACAGTCAGTAAACTCCCCAGCATGTTATCCTATGTGTCCATGCACACATAGGCTTTAAGCAGCTTTTTTTGCCAGGGGCGTTTTCTAGAAAAAGAAACTCAGAACTAGTGGATTTCAAGAGGTTTAGCTTTAATGCTGGTAAACGTGGTAAAAAGCAGCAAACCAGCGTTTCTGAGCCAAAATTAAAGGTTTTTTTTGTTAAAAAACAGTAAAAAAAATGCTAACGTGGCTAAACAAATGCAAAAACGCAGAAAAACTAGCATTTTTTAACCCAACTTTATACAGCTAACGCTACTGGTGATTTTAAATCGCCCACTGTGCAAGAGGCCTGAAAATATGTGTCTATAATGTTTAAAATCCAGTAATACACTGTCATCCTGCTCTGCACATACTCTGTTGATCTTTTTTTTGCCACTGCGTCGAAAATGTAGAGGCCAATCTGATGACAGCCTAAATATTTACTGCTGCTCGGGTCCTGGAGGCAGTTTACAGCACACACTAATTTTGGAAGCAGAATTATTAATGTGGAATGTATGTTCCTTGCTAAAGAAAATGATTGTCTTATCAAGTTGTTATGGGTAAAGTCCCCCTGACCCCCCCCAAAGAGCAAGGGTATGATAGAAATTGTAAGGGGGACCCTTACAATCCCCATGGCATTCTGAACTATACCAGGTCATAGGCCCCTAAAATAAAAAAAAAAAACTAAGCGGAGTCCCCCAGACCCCCCC